TCAGTAGGCATCGAAATGTATGTATAAATATTCTCACCATGGTTGTCCATCGAACCGTAACATAATCTGTACCATTATGATTTTCTGCCAAACTTGAAAACTGAATATTTATGAAATGTTAAGCAGTGTTTGTGGAGAAAATGTTTCGGAAAGATTAGTTATTTCTAAAACGCTCCAGTGAAGTGATTGAAGTAGTAAAGAACGATAGTTTGAAAGTACACCTGGGGATTTTATTATTCCAATGGAACCATTGAGCATATGTGCGCTTTTGCTTTTCAATCAATAATTCGCTATGATAAATATCAATATGTGCAGAGGCCATCAAAAGGATTGTTTGACGATTCTGCATTCCGTGATATTAGCTTTTTGTGCATAAAGTCATAAAACGTATTTAGTATCAATTGTTCACTTTGAAACATATCTTATGACTACTCCAATCCCTTTTACCTCCACCAATAGAATAAGTACTCAATTGAAAACCCAGTTTCCTCAGCTTTGCTATTTCTTCTTGAATGAAAAAGTCTGGATCGAATATGTCTGTTATTATATTTTCATACTGAATAAAAACATAATCCATTTGATCTTCAATTCATTGTCTGGCATTTTCGACGCACCGTGTGCATACAATATACAGCTCGATAGTATGATTCGGAAATCAATTAGTGTGTTAATTAATCATAATACTAATAATAAAATTACAATATGCTAAACCATGGTATGTCAATGCATATTTTGAAGTTATTATTCAGATGATGAGTTTCATTATAGAGCATTTAGTATGCATATAACTTTTAAGACGTTGAAACACTTAGCACGGACGTTTAACATTTATCACGAATTCACTGATGTTAGTCGTATTTTTTGTATCCAAACGCTCCTCGCTAATTGCTAATATTTACTTACTGTGGCCTCAAGTATATATCAATATGTTGAGATGATCCAGAAAGCACCCCAAGAAAAGCCAAAAAGGCCTTGAAAACACAGAAGCATCTATCCAATCAGTATTCAATAGAAGGTTTACCTCCAACATCTAGAAAATAAAAAGTCACATGTTGAGTTTCCGACTGGATGATCACCTATACTGCTACTATGTTTGGCAGCGTTTCAGAATTCTCCAGAAACCCAAGGTCATCTAAAATACTAGAGATACCGTGGAATTTCTGTAACTAAAGATTCAAGCCATGAACAGCCCAAGTAACGGTAGCTCTCCCAAAACCGTAGAAAGTATGTGTCTTTCAAGATCAATAGGTAAGATGCCCACTTGCAGTTAGACACGGCTTCCGATATACCACTTATAAGCAGAAGAATGTGGGAGAAAATTGGAAGACCGCGAATATATTTAAGTCATCAATCAGTATGTAGCGCATCTGGGGGAATACTAAACAATGCTGGTGAGATTCATTGTGAAGTCATGGAGAAGAGAGTAATATTGTTGACAGAATTTCCATCATTCGACATATTGGGGCTTGATTAAATAGAAAGGCTGAGAGTAATGGACCGTCACATAAATTCCATCTGCAACAACGTCATTATGTCGAAAGTTGAGGAGAAAAACTCAGTGGAAGATTAGTAAAACGACATAAAATAGTATTTCGTGAGGGTCTTAAAGAATATGTTAAATTTAAAGCTGCTCGTACCCTTCGACAGGGATCGAAGCCAGTGTTTCGACCTAAGAGAACTGTACCATCTGCTGCCCTCCCAGTGGTTGAACAACAGCTAGAACGACTTCATAAATTGGGTGTCATTGAACCGGTGAACTCAGAATAGGCTGCACAGATAGTAATAGTAAAGACTAATGGTAGCTTCCGTTTATGTGCCAACTACTCAGCCGGGCTAAATGAAGCCCTAAAAACTCATCAGTATCCATGACCCCTACCTTAAGATATTTTTGCTAAGCTGAATAGAGTTAAGCTCTTTGCATTACCAATTGTAATAGCATCAGACACTTCACAATAAAAAAATTAATTTATTTCACTAAATTTACCATTCATTTTATCATAGTTTAATCCGTATACAAACTATTTATCTGATGGTCTTCATTGTCACTGAAAAAATATAACAAGACCTTGCTTAACTGATCAATATTTGAATAAATTTGAGAATATAATCCGTATTTTCTTCTCATGAAAGTGGATAAGTGAACCTTGAACACATTTCTAAATACTGAGAGTTTGGATTTTTGATAAATACTTTTGTTTTATATTACATATTGTGTCATTGACTAATGTTACATGCTATAGTTTTTCATAAACAACATACTTTATGCGAGAGTACATTGGATAGAAGAAGAAAAGTCCGACGTACACTACCGCGTAGTGCTAACTGAATAGTGGGTGATATTTCTCCCCATGAACTAAAGCAAGCGGCACAGCAGAGACCAGACTGACCTCCGACTATGCAAAAGTCAGATGAAGATCTGGAACATTACCCACTCTATAAAAAGTCAAACTAATCATCCACTCTGTCAAAACTCTGATTACTATTGGAGAGAGGTCAACTTTGAATTCAGAGAGCAATCGTAATTTGAGATGACTGGACGTGTCTGCACATCCTATGATTGCATGTAACACATGCTAGCAACCGCGCCCATCTATCCCTAAATGTTTATCACTGGAATGTTTCTGACATCTGAATTTGATGAGTATATGTGTATACAACATATTTGGGAATAGAACCACGTTTCCCCACTGATGATGACTGTCTGCACTACGTAACAATAATGATTATTATTATTTCAATGGAAAAACAAATGTAATCGAATTCCCATTTGTTAGTACATTCATTAGAATAAAAACATACTTCCTCATAAATATTGAATTAGACATATCGATTTTATTCATATTTTCCCTGATAACAAATCTATGTGACTTGCCATTGTTTGACTACAACAGTCAGATAAAGTAGAATATCGACTCGCATATTATAATTAACCTAATTAAGAATAACAATTATAATTATCTTGACAATTTAGTTTCTCAATTAACAGTTCCCGCCCATCAGACATCACTTCTCAATGTTCATTGTAGACAAATATTTCATATTATTTCTGCTTATCCGTAACTAATTAATTATTTTGTGAATTAATTACACCAATGAATGTCATTAAACAATTTAGTCCGTTTCTATGAACTTGTTTAAAATCAAAATCATTTGAATCAACAAACTTATCTCGTCATTGTACTATAACTATTACACAGAAACATGTTTGGAGAATATCTAATTAATTACTGATTAACACATCCACTAATTATATACAGACATCATAGATCCTTCATTACAATGAGATAACGGCTAATGGAGAATTTTCATTCTGTGCACTTTGATTAGAAGTTCAATCAGATATTGAGCTTCATGTATAATTTACTCGAACACTTTCTTACTAAGATTAAAATAAAGACTTCAATGAATTCGGAGTGAGACATTCAGTTGTGTGTCTGCTTGATAAATAGGAATACTTCTTCATTACCAATAAAATTCATTGTTTCATGTAATGATCGGAGATTTCAAATATCAAAAGGAGTTTGCATAGTGATCACTGGGTTAAAGAAGAATAGGGAGATGACTATAATATACAGATCAGGAATTCATTGTTCCATATTTTATTATGGTTTCTATAATTACGGACGAGTTTCCACTGATAATACATGTCTAATTGTATTTCCATACGTAGTTGCTACATGTTGCATGTAACATGAACTACGGTTATACCTTTAATATACATTTTATATAAAGCGTTCTTTCACTAATTTTCTGACATTTGTTAGACATGAACTTTACAATCAACAATCACTATTCATTGACCAAATTTAGCTTGAGATATTTATTATTCTAAATTATTGAACTGAATCAGACGACATTTTGATCATATGATTTCGAAACACAAACATCATGTCATTTAATGTTTGATTGGGACAGGGAATGATTATTGCTTTTACCTAATGGAATACATATATGAGGATAAGAAATAATTGAACAAAGGGCTTTTTACTTGTATACTTTGAGTCAGAAATCTTGTCTCTGTTATTTTAGTGAACAGATATAAAGTCCCTGTAGTCTTCATCGACATTGTGGTGAAGGATTCTGATTTTGTGTTTTCATTAGGTAAGAAGGAAAGAATATTTAGTGAATTTATTCAGTCTTTTGCCTAGACTTATTGCGTAGTGCTTAAGAAGGCATTAATGTTCTTGCTAGATCGTTCTGTTGATGTACACGTGTTTAAATTATCGAATAAATTTATAAATAGGCAAAAATGTGACCGAATTTAGAAATCTGTTCTATACTTAGATTTTTAATATGTAGCAAGTGTATATTCTCAGGTTGTTTACTTCAGATAACTTCATATTAGTTAAGTTGTTGGTAGTTTATCAACTTCATCTCTACTGAAAGTAAGAGAGCGGTTTAATATTTTCTTATGCATTAATGTTATGCAGTTTACTAATAACATTTTTGTCGTAGAAACCTTCCGGCTAATTGTTTCTATACTGGATGCGATGTATTCTGTTATCAACTTTTCGATAGCATCTTTCATGTAATATTTCCAGATAAAAAGATCTAATTGTTGATGAGATTTTTATTGTACTAAATGAGTATTAAGAAACGGACAAAAACTGACCTATTAGTCAGTCAATCGTTTTTAATGTGCTACTATATTCTCTTTTAAATATCGAAGCATAACAAAATAGATGATACTCATTTCATTTTATTGTGTTTTCATTCTGAAATGGTATGAAGTTCTGAAATGGTTCAGAGATTATGGAAGCATGCAGCGAAGGTTGATTAGTCACTCGACCACCATGGTTCTAGTGGATTAAAGAGTTATTTGGAGATTTACATTCTCTGAGGATACGTTAGTGCACATTTCCTGTAACACCAAAGTTGATGAAGAAAGCAGTCATATCATGTCGTTTGTTCTGAAAATTGCAAGGTCTGGATCTTAAGAATAAGGAGAATTAGAAGGAAAACGACTGATAATCATACAAATCTACACTTCAACCTTCGACTCAGTAAAACGTAGTATCTAGTTCATCATCATCATCATCATCATCATCATCATCATCATCATCATCATCATCATCATCATCATCATCATCATCATCATCATCATCATCATCATCATCATCATCATCATCATCATCATCATCATCATCATCATCATCATCATCATCATCATCATCATCATCACAGGAATCTAGAAAGCTGATTTAATTGTATGGTTCAATACGGAATATTAAATAAATCTTATCATACTGGATAATCTCATAGTAGATAAATCGAACTTAAATACAATCGTATCTTGTATAAAATCGATTCCATAGATGACTTGAACACATTCGCTTTAAATATTGTCCATGATTTAAAACCGGAAGTAAAGATGGATAGTGTTGAAACTTATTGTATTTCAAGCGAATCAGAGAAACAAATTTAATAAAAAACAACCACAGATGAACAAAACCTGGAGATTACTAGTTATCAAGCGTTCAACACAATACCTAAATATGTATAAAATTAGACTACTACTTACTTAGTGACTGACTTATAATCTTATTCTGAATATAGCTTTTTGTCAACATAAGTACAAAAAACGTGTCTTATAAAGGAACTATACCATACACTTTTAATAATTCAATACTGGGCTAGCATCACATTTGTAAAAATAAACTTCAAATATCAATGGGAAAAGACTGGAAAAGACCTAAATTCAAAAACCGAGAGAAATTTCAATCAAATTATCAGCATGTAGTCATAGACAGTTGTGAAGTGGATTGGTGAACTGAAATCTCAAAAAAATGACGTGTGTAATCCACTTCATTTAGATTGCTATTATTGACTGAATGTAAGTTATTACATCATCAATAGAAAGGTATCTTCATAGTGTAACTATGCTAGGAGTTCTAAAAGTTATTTAGTGCATGATGTGAATTAAAATACTTTTGTAATAGTCATTTTACGATTTACTTTAACTTTGATGTACCATGTGTTTTGGTTTTGTAGAACTTGTCTACAGTTTACTCTGTGCCATGAACTAATCTATCATGTACTACATTTTAGTTTGATACTTGCAACATAGTTTGCCACGGTTTCCTATCAATAGTGGCTAGCATTATAGTAATTTTTGGCAGATAGCCTGATGCATCAGCTAAATATGCTATATAAATATCAGTGAAGTTCATAGGAATAAAAATATATATATTTAAAAGATTACTCTTGCAATTGAACTGCCTACTAAGCAAAACATATGGCACACGGTATTAAATTTAAAATATTTAGTGAGTCAGTTCCTCGTGAACACTGATTCAAGCAACCACTTTGTTATGAATGCTTCATTGTACGGTGAAGAGATTAACACATATAACATTTGGAACCGAGTGAGCTTAGATCCAAGGAAAAACTGCAAATATACGCTATAACACTTTCGGTAATCGATAGTTTTACGGCAGAATGTAGTGCTTATGCAGCTTTAGTAAATAGTGTTCCAAATAAAATACAAGAGTGTCGTAGAACAAATTTCGACTGGTTTGTCCAAGTTAGAGGGCATAAAGCAATCATACAACTTGTTTGAAATGAATGTGATCTTTGATAAATACTAATCCAAGTCATTTAAACTGATTTCTGTTTGTGCTTAGCTATAGCAGTTGGAAAATTCTGTACGCTACAATTACCACTTGTTTTACTGCTTTTTATCTATGAAGAACTAAATTAAAAACGGTCTTCCATAAATTTCTTAACCTATCGATGTCATAATGAGGTTTATTGATATATGTACCTTTAAACTATATAAATTTTCCATTATTTATTGAGAGTATACAAATAATTTGTCTAAATCCGTTTATCATAGAAGTTGTTGAACTAGTTGGAAATGCCGTTTCTCAGTAAAAGTCACTGCACTATGGAACACAGAGCTCACTTCATGGTTTTGTGTGTCATCAGGGTATCCAGAAATTAAACGCATATTTATTTCTCTAAAATAGTAAATTTTCAACGAATTCGCCTCTCGTAGTCGTCAGCCAAATAACTTGGTGGTATCACAGATAGATGCGAAATTGAGAAAGATTTGCCACTGTAGCGCGATACATATTGTTATCAACTGATATAGTAGAGAGATGTAAAAAATAAAACCAATGTTCCTAATAACGTTGTATCTTCTTTCAATTGGAAGAATGCTGGATTTATAATTGAGTAAAGTTCATCGGCTACTGAACAGATTGATATGTAGTAACGAAATGTCTGAGACAATATATCCAGTTGACTTCCTATTACTTTATCAATCTGTGTGAGGAAGGATTTAGTCTGGAGGAAGATTTTCAATATTATTCTTATGCTTCAGATGACTCCAGTATGTGTTGGAAATCTAATTTATCCTCCACTAAAGTAAGGGTCATAGTTCGATGGTCACCACTTATAGTGTAATTATCAAACAAATTAACAAACTTCTTGAAACTAAATATTGACACATTACTGATGCTGCAATTTACAAGAATCCTGTTCTTACACAACAAAATAGTTAAATAACAAGCAACAGTCTGTTAAATTCCTACTTAAGCGACTCTTCATTAGGTCAGAATGTGATGCAAATGTGACTAATATGTACTTTATTTAAAAAAATGTTAATTGCAGGATAAGTAGTGGAATAGAAAATTAACTAAATGTTCCATTATTACACACAACATAAAATGAACACATTAAAAAGGCACAAATATTTGAACAAAGTTTGTATCCCGACTGAAAGTAATTGATCGGTTAAAAGGGTTTGATGTTTGGACAGGTGTTAGTCCAGTTTGCCATTAGAAGTTCATTTGCATAAATTGCGTTAATGCATACTATAGGAGATGTATATGAAAACAAACAAGATCGAACGGTGGTCAATCAGTCGATAAACTCACTTTTCAAACTTCAAATCAAGTATCATTCTTAATAGACATATTTTGAATGTTAATAATAGAACTATAAACAAACTTCGATGTATTCACGAATGCGTGTTATATCCACGGTATAACCAAACATATATGTAACAGAAATCTGACAATCCGCTCTAATACTTTCAATAATAATCTCTCTTATTTAAACAATACTAGATAGTAGAACGAGGTCAAATTAGTATACAATGAGTAAAACCTTATAACCATGCAAACGGTGGGATCAGTCAATAGAAATAAACCAATTCAGATTAAAATTTTGTAGTTTATCTGTGTGCACCTCAGTAAAATAATATCAATAAAGTGTTGACATCTTCATTTGAGCATTAAATGACAACGACTAAGTTATGCTCTATCAAGAACTAATAAAGTTACTATTTAACGACAACCGTGTGAATAACAGATCATTCACTCACAGGAAAAGAAACTATCTTAGAATTAAACATCACACATAATGTTATTGTTATCTAGTGCATATCACAAGAGATATGTGTTCAGTTGGAATTGTCATGACTCTCAACCTTGAAGAAATACTGCGTACTCTTAGGTTTTGATGCACACTTTCACGTGGGATAACAGAAATCATGTTTGAAAATCTGGTTACTACTATACATTACTTACCATTCCATTGTTCAGCCACTCGCATCTTGCAAAATGACTCAAACAATGTATTGTCAATTGAACCAGTCAATGAAATCCATGGTATGACACTTGCTGTGATGATTTCAGTTGACGTGTTCAAAGTTCTTTGATACATGAATGGGTTGATTGATATCCATGTTCTTCCCAAATCCTTACTCATTATTACACCTCCACCATTTGCTCCCAAACCGAACAATATGCCAAGTGGATTTGTGTATGCTATAATCTGTTCAACAAATGGTCCGACATCTGAGAATCGAACAGAAATCGGTCGACATAAATTTATGACATTATTTTGTCAAAATAAGCCTCAACAACATTTTCGATGAGCAAACGTTCTTTGTAACTATGTATTTATATGAATCTGCACAACGATCATTCTAAAATACTAAACGCTTTTAGTTATGACTTATTAACATACTTTATTTGTCCTAGACTAACAACAAATTCTCTTATGACAATATGTGTCAGTTCAAGTGGTCATGTATAATTTAAAATCAAGTATGAAGAGAATGAACTGTAAATCCTTTTTCCAAGTACAAAGTCTGCCATAATCAGCTTGTGGTGTTGGACTTTAATGTAAAACATTTGTTTTCCTTAGTTATGATGATGTTTGATTTTCTACATTATGTCTTTTAAACTGACTTAGATGTTAAGTCAACAGATTCATGAATGATCATTTTGAATAATCGTTATTCTATTAATTCACAATCTAGTATCAATCGACTAAAGTTGGTTAGCACATCATGAATGTGATAAAAATAGGCCAATAAGTAGAATCGAACAGAGGTGGTACTTGATACTTTCCTGTTACAAAGTAGTAAACTCTGAATATCAAAACGTTGATTATTCTGTAGAAATTATTATGTTTGTCGATTAATCTAGATCTTAGTTATGTGGTGTGGACTACTGAAGTCGACAGATGTAAATAGCATGTGTCATCAATCGAAAGTGAAATGTCTGGTGGTAGAGATTTAAGATCGAAGAAAAGATAACAAGAGTGGGGAATGATTGTTATGGAAACGAAGGAACAATCAAGTATGAGACGATTGATTGACATTTTGCAAATGAAGTGTTTATTTCATGGTTTTCAGATTTTACTATGACATTCTGTAATTTTGTATTGTAATGCATTTGATTGTGCCCACTGGTGTTCTCGTTCTCTACAGTTGGACTAAATCGGTTTGCATTGGAGTATATTCAGTATTGATTTAAACATATGTTTACTTGTTATTGGAATTTCTGTGGTTTTATAAAATTGAGGATTGTATTGTTTGTAATTAAAATAAACGATAACTTTAATAAACATCCAATTAACTTTGCGATTCGGGTGACTGAATGTTTTCAACAGTGTGTTGCTGAAACGGATGAAAGACTCAGTAGACGTCCAACTTCGAGATCAACAGACTGGATTCCGTAAGGATCGGTCGTGCACAAACCAAATCACCTTTCGTGACTATGAGAAGTCGTATGATAGTGCGGATAGTAGAACCATATGGAAACATTATTGACTCTATGGTTAACCTGACAAGATTGTCAATATCACATGGCAATCATGCGACGGACTATAGTGCGAATTGGTTCACGTATGACAACTGACAGATGCATCAGAAGTGAGGACCGGAGTCAGACATTGATGCATACTCTCCCCTTCCTCTTTCTTCTGGTGGTTGACTAGATTATGATCACCTCGACATCTGAGGGGAAGCACGGAATATAATGGACAATTTGCATGCAACTAGACGATTTGTGCTTCACACATGACCTAACTCTTCTATCACATACACATCAATAAATGCAGATGAAAACAGCCAGTGTTGCTGCAGCCTCTGCATTAGTAGGCTTCAACATACACAAGGGAAAAACCAAGATCCCCAAACACAACACAGAGAACACCAGCCCAATCGCACTTGATGAAAAGAAGGTCTGGAGGTGGTGGAAACTTTCACGTACCTGTGGTGTATCTTCGATGAACAAGGAGTATCAGATGCAGATGTAAAGTGAGGATTGGCAAAGCAAGGATAACATTCCTTCAATTGAATAACATATGCAACTCGAAACAACTCTCAACCAATATCAAAGACACAATCTTCGATACAAATGTCAATACAGTTAGTTCTATTGTACGGAGCTGAAACTTGGAGGACTACTACAAGCATCATCAAAAGAGTGCAATTATTTATAAACAATTGTCTACGCGAGGTACACAATTTCTGTTGGCTGGACACCATCAGCAACAATCCACTGTGGAAGAGAACAAACCAATTTTCAATTGAAGAGGAAATTATGAAACGACGATGGAAGTGGATAGTACAGTGATTGAGGAAATCATCAGACTGCATCACAAGGTAAGCTGTAATTTGGAATCCAGAGGGCAAGCGGAAAGGAGAAAGACCAAAGAATCCACTATGTCGGCAATTGGAAGTAAAGATGAAAAGAATGAATAGCAACTAAAAAAAGTTGGGAAGGATTGTCCAGGACAGAGTGGATGGAGAATGCTGGTGGGTGGCCTGTTCTCCTACACTAGGTGTAACAAGCGTAAGTATGTACTATTAAACTTCAAATATCCACTGTTGAATAATAAAACACAACAGATTGTGTATGATTACTTACCAAACCAAATTCTTTCAGGCAATTTACTAATCTTGAAACAACGTCTCACCAAATCTAATGAACCTTTTATGCTAAACGCACGGGCACAATAAAACAAAAGATCACCAACATTTAGAAATGTGTTTGCTTGACGGTCGGGTAACTGTACCAGAGAGTTCCGCATTGCAACGTAATGAGGTAAGTTGGACGGATCTGAATGCAAACGGTCAATACAAGGCAAAGTGTTATTAAATAACGCATCACACAGTCACTGAGAATTATTTTAATTATCCCAAAAATCAATAAAAGGATAGAGAATTCTTTCACAGTAATGTGATGTGATTGTAGATAAGTGACCAATGACAAACATTCTATATCGTTATGGTTGATAATATTCGGGATCTTTTTAATAGGTGAGTGTAAGAGAACTGTATGTAGTTACAGTGCAAACATCTTTAGTTGATGCTTCTCAACAGGAAGATGAGTGTTATTCTTTTCATCTTTTCTTTGTGATTGTACTTTACTAGCAGTTTTGTATAATGTAATGAACTATCAATATGGAAAGCCTCCAAATGATTGATAACTCTATATGCGGACTAACTCATCTTTTCGCTGAAAGCAATTAACAAGCACCTCACATTTTGAGAATGATTATGATTTCAGTAGCATGAGAAAAATTCAGTAAATTATGATGGCTTGCAAAGTTGTATTTGTATGTGTGAATACTTGGTGACAGTATGATAACTCGTATGCAATGCAGAGATTGAAATCGTTTTCACAACAGCGGAAATGTTAACGATGATAAGTAGAAAGCGATTTATCTGCAGAAGACATTTTTCATTTAAGATAACGTATCCGACATGCAGAGTAAACTTATTTCCTATAATGCAGTCATACCTTGGTAGGTAGTGTTGATTTCTAATCATAAGATGAATTTGGAAAATCATACACTGATAGAACTCACAAGTGTAGTCAAGTTCAACACGCAGATGAGATTTGAACCTGTAAAACTTCTGTCTTGCGCAGCTATTCACTACGGGACTACCACGTTCATAGGGTTTGCACACAATTTCGACCAGAACTGGATATTTCACAATGGTTGTGCTAAGAGATGGATTAAATTTCAGACTAAAGATGACTGCATACTTCGCACCAAAATATAAACGTCCTGCCTGAAACGAGAAAAAATATCCTCAAGTGTTGTTCCAGAGCAAGAGTTGATATATGTTTGAAATTGATGTTTCATTTTGTAATATGAGGCGATTTCAAATGATGACTAACGTGGGCATAAAAATCTATTGTAATTTACCTCCTCTATGTTTGGTCAACGGAATTGTACAAACTTTGAAAGTTTCATTAGTACTGTAAACGACAGTGAATGCAGATATCAGATCGATCTCGTGCTCTCGGTTCAGTAAATGAAGTAATGTTTCGACGGATTTGAATGAGTTTGGATGTTTGACGAGAAATACTGAAAATATTTCACAGTAGAAACTTAAAATTTGAAATGACCGTAGTGGTTAAATAGATTTCCCTCGAGTCGGAACTATATGCAACAATTAATGGTAAACAGATATGAAACATGGAAGTGAGGTGTTTTATCTGTCTCCTGTAATACCTACACAGATACAACCTTTGTTTTAGAAAGGTATTCCAGAGTGATATTTCAATTTTAAAATCGAAATCGAAAATGTTTGACTATGACCTAGAAAGTGGTAGAAGAAATATTAGTTTTATGTAGCGATGCGGTTAATCAATGAAATCAAATCAAATCAAATCAAATCATGAAGTGTCCTTAGAATACTTTAGTGATATTGCGGAACGAAGATTACAAACCATTTATGGATAATAGAAACTTTACGATTCAGTTGACTGAACGTTCGCTAGATCATTTTGTATTTGGTTAACAGACCGAATGTATGGAAGTTATCCTTTACGTATTTAATGTTCAATAACTATGACGTATACAGCATTTCCTAGTACCTTCTAGTTCATTTACTGAGTGGAGTGCTATGTAGAAGAATGTAACTTTGATTGTAAATTTTATTTCAAGCATTAGATTTCAACGAGTTTGTGTTTTCCATCCGGTATGTCGTGATGCGCATCACTAACATATTCATAGGAGAATGCTGATGTTGACCAAGTACAAGTTGATCGCTAAAACGTTGTAATATACCTGATGGAAACAAGTAGTAATTGGTTGGTGAGTTAATATAGCAATGTTTCATTATAATGAATTAAAGTGATTATATTGTGTTATAAAATGATTTCTACAGAAGACGTTTACTATAATTTCACTCCGTCTTAACTGATATAACGGATTAATTCATTTTGGATTATTTTTTTGAATCTTTCCATTGTAGTTTAGGACTGCACTTGATCAGTCTCTTATTGACATGCGTACATCTTGTGAGGATAGTTTCGATATTGCCTTAAGTCACAAGCATTATAATCAGAGGTGGATGGTGGCTAGCAGTGAAATCCAAGACGCGCGTTTCGTCCTATTTGGGACTCGTCCTCGACTGCACTGCTAGTCACCATCCAACTTTGCTGATATAATGGATCGTTTAAAATGTTCTTTTCTCTCTCATGTATACTACAATAATATAACTAGCCACACTACACCAGAACCAGGATTGACGACGCAGAATAGGAAACCAGAATAACACTAAATAATACCTCATTCGATACAATTGTAAACAGTAACACCCTGTGAATCAGGAGTAGAAATCAATAAGATGGAAAGAATTCACATATAAAAAGGATTTAGCGAAATAAATTTTCCTTTCCACCAAATCATTTACTCAAACTACACATTCGTATTAATAGTTATGTTGCAAATATATGTCTATAGAAGGATAGAAAAGATTGCATCATAAAGTGATTCGAGATTCTAAATATCAAATGCAGTTGTGTATAACATTGTCGACTATTCAGTTACATGCATTATTACTTGGTCCTCAATTTTGTAGTACGTCAACTATTACTAATGAACTCAATATGTAATCACGATACCTATAACTAGACGACCACCCCCATAAAGAACATAAGTCTCAATTATTTCGTCTTCCGAAAAACCAAGATTTAGTGCTGTGCCACCCAGATAAGGTTGCAGGAATTGTCCTTATGGATTTTCAGCACTATGTCACCAAATTCCACATGACGCTACTGAGATGTATGGATGATACTTCATGGTGTTTGTGATTTATAATAGGTCTCATTTTGATGCAGACACAGTCACTACCTGGTTTAACCGTGTAGGGTGTAGACATCTGTGCACTACTTCCACACACACACTTATTCTAATAGTCAGGCAAGGAATTTCGTCAGGACATTGAAAACTGCAATTGATTCGATTGCTGCTTTCAGATTTGATGAACTGGAGAGAAGAGTAGACACAGTTCTACTGCAATATAGAAATATTAAACATTCTGTAACGAAAGAAATTCCATCAAAGCTAATAAAAGGAAGAATTCTTCGTTCGAATGTAAGGCATTTAGAGTCTCGAGGAGTTACAGGTTATCGTGGAAATGATCTTCGACCAGTCATGAGAATTGTGGTGAAGAATGTTGCGAAATCTATTGTTCGAATCCTAGATATCAATGATTTAAGTTCACACAACCCATATGTCGTTCAAATACAATTACAGGAACCAAGTTAGTCGGTCCCAATTCTGGTTTTTAATTAAATACTAATAAGCTCATCCTAGATCATGCAGAATCCTCATTCAATACACAATCAGATAGGCACATGATGAACTGGAGGAAAAGTGCAATCGATTACACATATTTAGATTCCCATTTAAGCTGTGGTGGTTGTGGTATTGGCCTTTTTTACGTTCTTAAGACTAGTAAACTCATCTGGACTATCATACCTTACATTCCAATTATTAATCACATAATAAACTAATAAATTTTATTTAAAGACAGCTAGATGCGAAGAATCCAATTCGTGTATTGAATTATATTCAGTTTAGTTACTATTAACCCCACAGAGGTGAGGTTAATTTAAGAATGGCACGAGTGTCGAGTTTCTGACTTCACTATCTTAATGTAGAAAAATTAAGACGGTTGTGCGCACTTTACTGGCTAAAGATATAAAAAAACCAAAGTAATTACGTGAGGTCCGAAATTGTACGACAAATCCTTTTAAAAATCAAGAGACGACTAGGTAATCTCTTGACTTTATAGTTCCACTAATGTATGGAAAGACCGTAACTTGATTAAATTAAATAAAAAGACCGTGTTGATTTATGCATCTAACTATGAGCGTCAAACAGTTTATGAGAAAATAGGGTGAAACCTGTCCTCTGTAATCGAAGCGGGTAGAACAAAGTAGAATCCTTAACAAACAACAATTATTAGATTGCAATCAATTGAATAGAAGTATTAGTTACGTCATGTATATGATGTTCGAATGACGAAAAGGTAGGTAGAGCAAGTTAGTACTCAGGATTCCAGTAGTTACAGGCTGTCAGTACTCTTGGTCATTGTGAGATATTAAGAAAAGTCAATAGATTTCAAGTGTTATGCAGACCCCTGAAAACCTACACACCACCCAGCTCTGACTGTGGAGCTGGATGACACGGGATCAAATCCGTTAGGGAGCACCAGTCCCCTCACTTTTTTCCCCGAATTCCCTGATGCGGCCGAGAGTGGGGAGAGTCCGCCCTTTCTCTCGAAATGCTCTCACATGGCCACACGTATATAGCCTCTGCCAGGGAAGTCCTACTCACGGTCTTCTCGTGGCAGCCGTGTTGTTCACGAAATTGAGAGGACCAAAAGCGGATATCCGGCCCTTTAACCGGGTTGGTGGACATGGCCTGTCCACATAGGGGAGTTGGTAAACCCTGATTCCGAACCAATGGTGTACATGGGCTCCAGTATCCTGAAGGAGCAAATGGCGTATGAACCAATCGTTGGTCACCGACTATCGTGAGATTGCACCTCCTTACGATGCTCCACTGCCTTGTGGATCAGACCTTCAGCTCGAAGGCTCCAGGTGTGGCCCCCTAAGTAAACCACCTGCTTTGGTTTGGGCCCCCGGGCAGTATCACAGCCCTCGCACAAATCAAATGGGATTTGTGTGACACATATATTTGGTGCCTCCTTGTTCCAGTATCTATGTTTTCAAACAAAACAAAATAAAGAACAATAAGTAGATCTTCAATAAAACGTTTCGCAGTCTTATTTTCGTTTGAAAAATCTGTTTTGCAAATATCCAAGAACTTCCCATTTAGTTCTGAAGATTGATGGACGAACTAGTTTTATATAAAATGATGGAACATATTTACCAGTACCCATTTTTCAATTAAACATTTTTTCACATTCTCTATTAATGAGACACGGTTCTGAGTATTTCATCTATAATAAATCAAGGGTACTTTATTTATATCAGATCAAAAAATTACCATACAACAAATTTTCAACTGGGTGCTTTATTTTTATTGCAATTATTCCCTAGAACACCTATTCGGAATAATTAAACTTAACTTGTTATTCGAAATTTATCTCCAAAAACAATGGATTATATCTGGTAAAGAATGTCTCCTAGAGACTACAAATGGTTTGATTACCAATTACAACCAATCAAAATATCTATAGGGTAGTGAGCTCTGCTTAAAAATAGATGAATCAAGGTAAATTAGCATGTAGTGGTAAATAAATCCCTAAAAATTAATAGCTCTGCGAGTCTTCGACATCTTATGCTGATCTCATTGGTTTTACTGGACCCACCTAACCGAAGGTGCTCGGTCACGTATCCGCACCAGATTACGAGTGGGTATGTAACAACTTAGGTTGATTGGTTAAGAGTTGACCTCAAACAACTAAGCTTATGTTAAAACAGTATAGTTCAAGTATTCATTAACTTCCTCATTTTGTATAGGCGTTATATTTGCTATTATCTCATACTGAATGTTGAGAGGCTTCGTTTGTCTGAATAGATGATCTCACGCTCTACTGTGACTGCGCAAAGATCGAAATAAAGACCTATTCACTACTTGTCTTGTTTCTCCTATCAATAGCACGAGGGTTGCATTTAGGTACGAAACTGGTGAGCCCTGTGAAACAGATTTGATTTCATTTTTGATTATTAAATTCATTTTTTTTAATTAGTCGTAAACGTAGACCTGATTATCCGTAAACCAAGTTTGGCATATATATATATATATATATATATATATATATATATATATATATAGTTTTTTTATCTTAGGGTATTCGTGTTGTAGTAACCATTTTTCGTGATAAGTTTATTACTATATTGGTCATATACCTCATGTCAGACTCAACACAAACGCAAAACCTGGAGGATTTGTCATCAGCGGAGATAGACACTGTTATGACTACGAAATCCCGACTTCTAGAATTTGGTCATAGTGATCCTGAGTTGTGGTTTGCTCAACTAGAGCATTATTTCACGAGACACATTATCAAATCTGAAGGAATTCGTGATAGAGATGTAGTGACCTACTTTTGTCAACAGAACGCGATTGGTATAGTGGAAAAAATTATTATTATAACCAATTGTACCAGCGACTGTTTTACTGTGCTTGTTTGTTTAATTATGCTAATGACAGCTATTACACTTATTCTCCCGTTGACCTTAAACTTGTACGAATTCGGTTACGCTTAGTAACCACGCTTGTACTCATTTGGCACGATCTCGGTATTCTTTCGATACCACGAGATCGCCAACAAATACATCTTGACTAAAGCCATCATCTGCCTTCTGATATTGGCCTACGGGGATCTTATAAGTTAATTGGCACGTAGTCTTGTAGTGGTGTTCATAGTCAATCGCGACTCGACTCCACGCTACAATTGGTGAGCCAAATCTGGGAACACGTCTCAACCTCGGTCAAATCTTCCAAAGAAGGCAATTCGGTGAGCCTCTTGTTTATCTATCCACGTCTGTCGTATATTTTCATACTAATTTTTAATATATAATATACTCGATATGACGGATAACGATAAGAATAGTATTAATATAATAGACTTCGATGTACGTGTACCGAATCCTCGACACTTTTTATTCGCGTGACGATAAATTCCACGCTTTATTCAAGAAATTCCCCAGAATAACTAAACCACTCGAGGAGATTTCATCGGTAACCAATCGTGTGGTACACCACATAGTCACCTGCGGACCACCAGTCACGGCAAGACCACGCCGACTGGCACCGGACAAATTAGCCTTCGCTAAACGTGAGTTTGACAATTTACTA